GTTTTGTTTTCGCTGCACTCCGTTGAATCCGTTGAAAAAAAAAATAACGAAAAAAAGAGAGGGGATATTATAGCGATATTACGATTTTATGGTCACGCCTGAGGTATTGTATCCGGCCAACAATATAGTTCAATAAACCATTAGTTTTTTTTTTACATCATATATTCGGCATTGTTTACGGTCAGGTGAACAGATTTTATCGGCGCAGTGAGGAGTCTCCATGACTACTTTTGATATTAAATCAATTTCTCTCAATTTATTTTTATTTATATATAAAAATTGGTACTCAGTATTCCGCTCGCTTCCATTGTACTAGGTTTTTACCTATTGTGTATTGCATTTACAAACACGGACATTCAATTGCTTTTTATAATATGCAGTTTTCAAAACATGGTTTTAGATTACAGACCGCTATCCCAGCCACGATCTCAATTAGGTACGCGATTTTATAAAATTACATATTCGTTTTTGCTTTACCACAACGTTGTCCCGCAAAGCTCTTATATTTTCATGTGCAAAACAAAATTATCTCATCTTGCAGTGGTGGATTCGCGTTTTTGCCAGAGCAAGTTCGTAAGTGATGGATTAACGTGCGGAGCGGAATTCCCTGCTGCATCATGTTTCATTCCTTTTCCAACAACAGCCCTCTGTATGAAAATCTCGAGCCCCTCCGAGCCTGCTTGCGTTCAGTCATTCTTTTTTATGATTATTATAGTCTGATTATTATATTCTGAGTTACGTACGTTAAGATCCCCATTTTATTGCTCCCACACGGAATTTATCGTTTTGCGTATACATCACTGTGTCAACAGGTGGCACACATCATTTTATTTTGCATAGGCATATTACGCGAAGTATGTGCGAGAAACGTGTGTGTGTGTGTGTGTGTGTGAAAGAATACGTTATCTAATAATATCGACCTATCAAATTTTTGATGAGAAATACTTACAAGAAATTTGTTATCAATTCTAGAGATGCTTATAATATTTTACATTGTTACTGTTCTCATTTGATAATAAATATTTGTTATAAGTAAATATTTATAATTGAAAAAAATTATTTGCTTCAATTATATGGTACTTGTTATGTAGTACTCGTTAATCTATTTTCATTGAGATTTGACTAATAATAGTGAGTTTAAATTTACTTCACTAACACAATGATACGTAACGCAATGTGAACAATGTGCAATATACAATACGTTATAATTATTTTATAATATCGTCATTGATCAAATACTAAAGTTAATCTTATTTGTACTTCGATTCGATTAACATCGTATACAAAATTAATCGAATCGATGTGATATGCAATCTCGAATGCCAACGCCTTTATTCTCTTGATAATCGTTTCGTGACGCCTCTTGCACTCTCTTGTTCTTTAGTGTATTACAATGAACTGCGGTCTCGAACATGAAATTCCGCAGGAGATCTCATCCCGATTTCATTATCGGTGAATCGCCGCGATCTAATTATTGCAAACCGGCGTTATGCATCCACAATGAGGGATAATTATTTTAATTATCCCCTGCGTCCCCGACAAACGAGCTGCTGCATCTTCACGGTGGTGCGGACAGCGTTGATCCTTTCTGCGTCGCGTTTCTTTCGTTAAATGGTACCTTCGCCATTTCGCCTCTTTATTCTTCCTAACGCTCTTTCGCTATAATCCTCTTACGCTTCGCATATTCTATCGCCTGAGGTTAGAATCTAAAATCCACAATCACTCCATCTTTCCCTCTCTCTTTATTTCTTTGCTTCCTTCGTCCACTTCCTCTTGCTCTCTTCCTTCCCTTCGCTTTTCCCACAGCAACGTTTTACTAGCCTTTCTAATCTTTTCCTCCCTTTACCGCGCGTCGAGTGGATATGAGGCTTTACCGGCGTTTGTATGTTAACTCTGTCATTTGCAAGAACGACGGACAAAAATGCTCTCGCGGCGTACATTTCAAAGACTCGTAACGTTCCGTCCATCTCTTGCCATGTCTATCTCACGCAGCCCATCCATTGCACTTTCTCATATACTCCTACGTTCTCTTTCTTCCTCTTTCATAAAAATCTCTTTCTCTCTCCTTCTCGATCCTTTACTATCTGTCTCTCGCGTTAGCTTTGCGGCTGGATGAAAAAAATGAGTGGGCGGAATAGAACGACAGGGGGAAATGCGAGGAGGCGGAGGCGAAAGTGGCGCAGGGAAGAGAGTGGAAACATCGTTCGCGAAAGCTTATTTCCAAGCTCCTTCGGCAAGAACGGATAGGTCTCCTTTATCACGCTCGCAATATACACCACCAAGGTAGCTATTCGCAAAGGTATCCCGGATACGAAGCACGCTGCTTTTAGAAATATCGTTTCTGCTAAGCGACGACGCCGGCTTCGACGACGCGCAACGGCGACGACGGCGTACTCGACGGGCGGTCGTCGCGACGCACTCCTGGGCCAACGCTTTTTCTTGCCTTACGTTGTTGTTTCACCGCGGCATAAGCCCGCTTTTCCTGACGGCCAACAAACCTCGCGCGGGAATAAACGCGCCAGTCAAACCGTGACAGAACGATGCGTCGCTTTTTACGGCTTAACCATGTTTCTACGTATTCTCCATTTAACATATTACATTGAATGATACGATTCTATTCCTAACTCGCAATTTACGAGTTATTTCTGCTGGACCATATACATGAGTGTGTATAAAGTTTTACGCTTGATTTATGTCGGATATATACTGACAAAATCATTAATCACAAAATTACAATATAAAATGTAACTGTCTAGACTCATATCATTGTGAATATTGAAAAATAAACTTGTAATACGTACTACACATCACAAAACTTCATTGATGTATAATCGGAAAATTAGTTAAACGGTGCGTTTAATTTCTAGTGTCATTCTCCAAATAATGGCAGCGAACTATCGCGTATTCTCTCTCATTTGCATTGCTACTGATTAAACAATGACGATGGAATATCAGATTGTCTTTCATTACACTATCTATACGAATATCAACGCATCAATTACATAATGAGAAACTGATGGATGTTGGATTGTTTTCTCACAAAGAATTGGACATGTGAGTCGATTCACTGAAAACAACAACGACAATTGGCAATCTCATATGAGCTATCGTGAATGAATATCAGTTATTTGATTCGATTACTATTCTATCCGTCTATTCTACTGAATACGCTTTGTTATTCATAGAATTACAAATAAATGTAAAAACCGGTATTTCTAGGATTTTTCGATTCATTGTATCGTTACTGTAAATTTATCGCATATCACTGAATACAGTTATCAAATTACTTTTTATGAAATACTCCAAAAAACGCGTGCAAAAGTTTGACGAGATTATTGTTTTATTACGAGATAATTGAGTGACTGAAAAATTTCGGAAAAATGTTTAATCTATAAAGAATATCTTTAAAAAGATCGTAATACTAAAATTCAAAATTGACGTAATAAAACGAAGTGTTGCTTGATTACATTTCGTGAAATGTATTCTGGTCTGTGCAATTTTAATAGGCTCGTCACGAAAGCATTTAGAATTTTTCGCTTACGAATGCTCATAAAAACTGTAATCATAGGTTTATAGCTGATTCCTCTCCTCCAGGGTGCTTCCATATCTGGCCTTGTGAAAAATATTCACTTGATTCGTACGCGTTCGTGAAGGATTTCTCAACAGTATTGCTGGAAATCGGGAACGGCAGGAGGCACGCCATTTTCAGCGCGTTTGTCCTCGCATAGAAACACCCTTTTATGATTTCGCCAAGCCCTGCGAATCACCCTCGGGAATTCAGGTTTTATAGACCTTTCGCTGCACGAGCGCAGCCGCTCGGACAGAAAATTACGTAGCGCTATATATTCCACCATGTTCAAATGGAATCTTTAACGAAACGATTTAAGCGGTCGCGGATTTTTCTACGTAAAAATTCCAGCCGTTACACGCGAATCATATTTATATTTGACCTATTCGTCGTTCATTACCGCGATCGTTCCATTTCCCATTTTATTTCTCTCACGTCACAGCGCTCTTCAGGGAGGAAAGACGAAGAATTAAATTGCATAAGGTTCAAGAGTTCATCGTACGTGCGACATACAGCATTCCCAAGCGTTTTCCTGTTTGCCTTTTACGCTGTACAAGGCGTTTTTGTAAAAATAGCGAAATAATTGAAAGACCCTTACGAGCGTCGGCAAAATAGTTCTGGGTCGCGCCGTAAGGAAATTAGATTCACCAGACAAAAGTTAGGAGATAAAAACGGAAAAAGCTGCCTCTGAAAGCTTTTGGTTGTAGCTGTTTAAACCTCGCTGCTCTATGTGTCGATTCAGAGTTTCATAAAATCCGCTTGCACAAATCGAGCCATTGACTTACAATTTTTTCGTTTGCTTTTTTTCTCTTTGCACCTATCGGGCAATGCACTGAAAGTCAACATTCAATCATATTAATCAAATTAATAATTTTATGCAGTAAATATCAAATCAACATAGTATATATATTTGTAGTATATATAATAACTAAATAGTCATAATCAATAATGATATCTACAATAATTCAACAATTAAGAATGACATAAATGATAAAATTAATCTGGTTGCATTTCATAAATTTTGAAAATATTTTATTTTTCGAACGATACCAAAACCAATTGATTTTATTTGAATAAAAAGATCTCTTTCATTGGGAGAGAAAAAGAGAGAGATAAAGTTTTATATTCGCGATATTGGTAGGCAAATTCCTGTCAGTTTATCTCATTTGTTCAACATCATCTATATTAAGTATCAATTTTAATTTTTTACTTTCTTAAACAAAAAAAAAGAAATATATAATACTTTCTTAAATAAAGAATATATGTATTTTTATTAATAAAGAAGTTATGCAATGGAACAAGTATTAAAAAAGCTTTGAAAAAAAAGCTATTGAAAAGAAATTACTATTCGCTGTGTTAATGAGTTGAAAGAATGTCAAAGAATGTTTGAACAATGATTACTAATCTATTTTTGCCATTTAAATGTGTACAGGGCAGGAGTAACGGCCGTGTCGTGGCATCCACACGGCACGTACTTAGCATCTGTCGATCGTGCCAAGACGGTGACAGTTTGGGGCGACCACGTTTGACAGGAGGAGTGATGTCGGGACAAACGATCGTTGTTTCACGCATGAAGATCTCTTAACCGTGAAAATGAAACAAATATGCGCTCGTGATGCCCGGCAGCAATCCCGCGAGAAATCACAGTGGGAAGTTGGGCACCTAGCGGGGTAATAATCAAAATCATCGGTTTGGCCGCGCGAATTGTAAAGTTCTTGTATAAGGACGCCGTTAAGTTGTAAAGCGCAAACGCCACACTGAACAAATTCACAGCAGTGATAGAGACTATTGTATATAAAATTGCACTTATTGTTACTCCCAGGTTGTAAAGATCCTTTATTTAGAACAGTAAACTGCTCGCCACGGCCACGCCGCGCCGTATATCCCCCCAAAAATTTAAGAAATTATTATAATAACTGGTGTTTTTCAGCGACTCATTAGATATAAGTTTTGTTTTGCTAACTATAAAAGACACCATCGCGTATTCTCAATTGTTTGAGAAGATTCAGTTACTTTTAGGACGGAGATTTATACATATATGACATCCATGGTGCTAGCAAAATGTTTGCACAGGTTGAAATTTTGCACGAATTTAATTCGCAAGATATATTAAAATTATTATTTCTTTTTTGTCACAGAAAAAGTCAATTATTATATATTATATATTATATTTTCTAGAGAAATCAAATATAACATTCGAACATAATATATGATATTTTTTGAAATATAGTGAGATAAAGGGAGAGAGAAAGAGAGAGAGAGAGAGAGAGAGAGATGAGAGAGAGAGAGAGAGAGAGAGAGAGAGAGAGAGAGAGAGAAAGAGAAATAGTGCTAAATACGAATGAGAATACGCAGAGAATTGAATGAGATTATTTTCTCAGAATTAACTATGCATTATTATTAGAAAAAGGAATATTTGCAATTTCTTTGCAAAGAAAAATAATTAGTATTTATTTTCCTCATATCTCAAGAAGTATTCTTGAATATTGAGAATTATATTTCAGATATCGGATGAATTCAAAAATACTTTTTATAGTGCAAAATTAATTCTGATGGAGCAATCTCACTTTAAATTGTGGCACTGCAACTTGATTCGTCTCCGACATTATTGAAATGACATACATAAAACGTACGAGTCTTAATATATGAGTCTGATAAAATGGAAATCAGAGTAGGGATTAAGCAAACAAGCACAATAACAATACTATACCAATATTAATTAATTACATTACGCATGATTTGTATCATTAATTTGTATAATTAACGTTAGAATATCATATGCCAATCCAAGATGATTATTATTTTCATTAATAAATGTGATGATTGGTTAATTAAAATATTCATATGCAACTTTTTTGCAAAATAAGCTAATGGATATTGAGCCTTAAAGAAAGTTATAAGTATCTAATCGAAGAAACTCCATAGAATAATAGTATAATCTCGAACTCTAAAACGTACAATATTAAAATAGCTACCTAAATGTTTTTACTTTTTGATAATAACAAACATCGTTGTGTCACGTACACATTTTTGTTATATACATTACTCACAAGCAAATATACTCAAGAATAAGTTTATTAATGAACTTATTCGATTTTACATTAATTATCATAGATTTCTATCATCTACAAAGTGCTTTCTATTATTTTACTTTTCTACGGAGCTCTTCGATTACTGTTTGATATTTATTATAAATATATTCACATAAGATTTAATAATATCTGGAAAGCAGTGGCTCGAATATAAAATACATATATACTGTTCTCTGAATCACACTTTAAATAATTAAACCATCTTTTAATAGGCGTTTATGTATTATACAATTAAATCACATACTTTTTTATTTGTAATTTGTTACTAAAATGATTAACTTAAAATTATTTTTAAAAAAAGTCATTAGTTTGCATAATATTAAGCGAAAGTTTTATTCCATAACACATCGAGTATTTTTATTTTTTAAATAAAAATTATTTCGGCGCGTGCGTATTCATCTTATTTCAAGATATCTCTTGTCGAAATTTTTGTTAAATGAAAAAAGTTATAAAAAAACACAAAATTGTTATTTCCACAATTCCATGTACTACGGTTATAAATACTAGTCCGTAAATAATTCATAACCCTAGACAAATATTTTTATACATAACTCTAGTATAAAATATATAGGTATGTTTAAAAATAAATGTTTGCTTTAACAAGAATTCCAAACATTACGAAATATAAAATCAAAATTCAAGTAGGTACGTTTGTTAAATTGTAAAACTGATTAAAAAAAGAAAAATTAGTAAAAATGTTAACAATTTTTACACGAAATTTGTATCAAGTGTTTTACAGGTTTTTATTATAATTTTTTACTTAAAAAAAGTTTTTCCATATTTTATAATTTTTCATTGCAATTCATTTGATAATGCAAACTAATGATTACCCCGCCCCCCTTCGTCATCGCAATAATAACCGGCTCACGTTTCGAGCGAACAATCAATTGCGTCCAAAATGTTATGGAATGATTTTAGTACTATACACTTACATCTTATTTTTGACTGTTAAAGTACCTACACACTGTATCCTATATTTTCTCTGTATACAGTACTGTAACAACAATCTTAGTCGAAATGATATATACATTGTTCACATATGTAAATATTAAACGTTTCCCTCTTGTATTTTGTAAAAATATGGCTTGTTTTCTTTAAATACCAATTATTCCAATAAGTTCTGATTAATCTAAATTAATTCTTTTATCCCATGCATTCAACAACTCAAGCAACTTCTTGACAACAACAAAATATATTATTTACGGTAAGTGACAGAAATAATCATCACATAATCATTTATACTTGAGATATGACGGCGAACTTTGTATGTATAATAATAAAAAATAATGTACCTTACCAAATGTACGTCAACACAGAAACTATTATCGCTCGACTTAGAATACATTAAACTTTAATAGCCATTTGTCGATAGTTTTAAATCGATCGTATTTTCCGATCTATTTTTCGAATTATTTTTTATTCAAGACCAGTAGCTTGTACAGCTCACTCTAATCCCGATTTTCACTTCTATCGTCTGTTCGATAAGCGCATGTATAACAACGTGCATGTACACGTACACATTCACGTATACGTGTATGTATGTATGTACATCACGATCCCCTCACAGAAGCTCGCCATGGCATTGCACAGCAGCCGTGTATCTGACAGTACCTAACGTGCTTTCGAAAGCGCTCATTAGTCACTGAAATGCGGTCACGAAGTGACAACTCGCACGTGGAATATTATACGCTCCAAGAACTTGCATCGGTACTCATATCGCAGAGCTCGTATGCTCACGCTCGCGCCGACACGTCTGTCTCTGTCCTCTCTCTCTCTCTCTCTCTCTTTCTCTCTCACTCTATCTCTTCCCCCCCCCCCCCCTCCCTTTCTCTCTCTCACTCTCGTTCTGTGTCCTCCACCTCTGTTTGTAACTTTCGTATTATACACCCTTTGTCCGCGATTCGACAGTTTCGACAGTTTTGCAATGGAACGTGAGAACGCGACCGTCCGAGAGAAGCCGCTTGCAAACGACGTTAAAGTTCGATCGGCCGGCCGCATCTGGGACCGCCGAAAATTTTTACTCTACTCCGCTGTGATGTACGCGCGTACATCGCTTTACGTTCTATACGAACGCATACCCGGTCTCAATACGTTTTTATTACCGGCGGATCCCTCGCAAAACTGCTGCGAAATTCACGTTACGAGACATTGATGGAACAGTCTCGTTCATTTTTGCGGATTAGAAAGTTTGGTTGCCTGGATACGAGAACAGCGTCGTTTATTTACGCGGAGAGATGAATTTCTGAATAATTAATGCATCGAATTACACGTAAAAGTTAGTAAGTTGAACTTATGTGATCAAAAAACACGCTGTTTTAGAAAATGTGTTAGCGTAAACGACACTCGGGCTGATTTTCCTTTGTTGAAGGAAATAAAAAAGTGAATTAGGGTCTTCATATTCCCGGAAACAATCATTCGCGCGCGTAAAATATTTCTAAAATCAACACCCTTATAATACATTTATTTAAGTATCGTGTTTCGCTTCCTCGTTTCTCTGATACCTAGAAGAGAAGTACCGTTTCTACGATTACAATCCGCACGTTCGCCTCACTCTTAGGCCTAACCGACGTCAAACGTCCCTGTTAACGGTCGTTTATTCCGAAGATAATGAGGAAGATGTTCGCAGGGCCTGAGGAAAGGAAATTGTGTATGAGAGTCAAGAGAGTGACAAATTAACTCGCGCCTTAACTTCCGTGAGATTCAAATCCTTCCTCTGCTTCTCGAATAGATCCCCGCATATCACCGGAGGTGGAAAACCTTACGGAAATGCCAGTCGTCAAGCAGGTACAAAGTTTAAGAGAAATATTTAACCTTCAATGCGAGAAATATCTCTTTCTCATGTTAAAAATGTTTCTGTATACTTCATCAAATCATGTGTGCTTATAACGCTTTGATTCGTCACGATCCATCGAATGCGATTTTAATTAAAAACGTGGGAGATATATTATTTGTGCCGAAACGAAAGCTACAGATCACAATATAATTTAAATTATGTAAAAGAACTTCAACCTTGTACGTAAGGTACGTTGAATAAATTGTTTGAATTAATCTGAAATACACACACATATATATATATATATATATATATATAACGAGACTTTGATGAAACGCAATTCATGATTTTGGTTAAAATCAACAGACAAATTTGGTTGCATATATTCTGGTTGGTAATCAGACATATTTAGTTGTATAAATTTACGAAAACAACAAAATTTTGGTTGTGAAATTCCAATTGATTGCTAATTATGATAATCAGAAATTCTGTTCAGATCTACATTAATCCATATATATCACCCAACCATGCTTTTTACATACATATATTTATCATTTATATTCCTTAACCAAATTTTGTAAACATATTTTATAAGTTACTGTGTCATTTATCTCATTTCTAAACATTATTTGTAAATTTTTTATAAGCTGTATAATTCACCTTTATGGAATGTACGACAGAAATGTAAAGGTATCAAAAAATTTTTTTTATACAAAAAGTATTTCAAATTTCTAATAGCTTTCAAAGTTTTTATTGGTATAGTTAATAAACTATACCAAGGAAAATATTCCTTAAATAAAGTAAATAATATTTGATTAATTAAATTTGTGTTAGGTATGGCGCGTATATACCGGAGTTATTACCTTATGTATAAATATATTAAAATTTTAATAATTTCTTTTAGCCATATGGCTAAAAAGTTATATTCATAAAATGGAATTTTATTTTTATTATGAGAATCTGTTGATATGATATCAGGTGCAATTAAAAAAAAAAAATCTCTGAGGAGTGTCCAATTAAGACGCTAATGTGTCGGGAAGCAGCGGAAATGAAGCGGAACGAGGCTTCACCGATAATTTTCGAGGCAAGCGTCAATCACTATATCGTACTTTCAATGGAGATTGGTTATTTACTTGGAGTCTACTCATTCACCCT